AGAGAGAAAGATAGAGAGAAAAGTACGATTTTGCTTGGCCGGTCAGACGTAAGAACGAACATCTCGCTTTTATTTCTGTCGTAGCTCCTAACGAGATATTGATACAGCAACGAGACCAACCATAACTTTTCAGAACAACCATCTAATACGTTCATTTCTATATATATATATATATAGTATTTGCACACATATATACGATACGGTAACGAATAAAAATGATACATTTTCGACTCCATTTAACAGAAATTTTGTTACCCCTTTCTCAAATAACATAAATAATATTATTTTTGTTACGTTCCATGATATTTCATGATTGATTCTAACATTTAAAAAAGAAAAAAGAAAAAAAGAGAAAAACAATTTTTCATAAATCGGATTATCATTGGATCAAAACCTATAATTCATTCGTTATACGCGTGGCTTCATAAATAAAATCGAATATTTACAAATTATTATTGATGATGACGCTTCTTTTCTTTTTTCCTTTTTTGTTTTTTCTTTTTTCTCTCGTTTTTTTTTTATATTATTGCTAATATACGATATTTTTATTGAATAAATTTTTCTCAAAATATATTTAACAAAGATAACTTGATGAGAGAAAAAAGAAAAGGAGAAAATGAACCGAATGTGATCTTTAGATCACTATGTTCTATTTCAATCCGCCAACATACATACATACATACATACACGCATACATACATAAATACATACATACATATATACTAGGTATAGAGGAGTCCACAGCAGCCGTATGTCGTTAGAGAACAAGGAAAGGTTACGGTAAATCCACGTTAGTATGTGCGAAGGTTTGCGAAGGCAGCCCGAATAACCACCCTTCTTGTTCTCGAGCATCGTCCATAACATCGTTCCAGAGTTTCAGGACGCTGGCGGACGACTGGAAAATTTATTATCAGGGCATAAGGAGCGGAAAGAGGTACAAAAAGGGAACGTATAACAAAGGACAGAGAAAGTTGTGGATAAGTCGACATCTCAACGATATACTTGCCTTGTAAACCGCGACCCCTTAATTCTCAAGGGAGGAATAAAAATAGCGACTTTAAATTGTTCACATGCGGTTTAACAAATAGATTTTCTAAAAAGACGTCTAGAATTTTTACGATAATCTTACGAGCACTTGAAGAAAATTGAAAATCTATACTGAATCTTTTATAAAAGTAGATAGACATTAACTAATAACATTTTGTATATTGTAGTAAAAGGGGTTCAATGAAAAATGTATAATATGATTTATTTGATAAATGATCGGGGCTTAAAATCGAGAAATTCAGTATTTTTTAACGAGAATGTAATTTTGATGTTAAAATATATATTAATATACGTTTATTTTTAATAAGTATATTTCTGTTTTATGTTAATTAAATTGATCAAATAAATCAAACGGCAATAAACTGACAAATATTTACAATAATATATCAAGGGTTAAAAACTAAATGGTTTATTTATGATAACGATATTTGTTCCGATTCAGATTCAATGAATTCGTTATGAATTTAATTTTAAAAGGATCGTAAAATACGATTTTATTGTTAAAAATTACAAGAAATGTTTGTAAAGAAGTGCGAACCGCGAGACAAAAAAAAAAAATAAAGACATATCATTTATTATACGTTGTGTTATATAATTCTATAATATTTACTTTGATATTTCGCTAAACGTGCAAACCATGTTAACTTGAAGGTGCTAGGAGCAACGAGAAGGTTTCAGAAACTCTGGGGCTTGTTACGCAGTTTAAAATACTTATTCGCGAGACAAGATTCGAAATTTAAAGCATCAAAAGGCAAACGTTGCTTTGAGAGCGCTAATTTGCTTAGCATTTGCTTAGACGTAGAATACAAAGTATGAAAGGATCTAAACGCGAAAGGCTGAGCATACAATTTTTTAAATGAATAATAATCTCTAGCGTTTGTGTGTGTGTGTGTGTGTGTGCTGCGTTTTATCGTAAATAATTATAAACAATGAATGAAAATTAGCTGTAATTGCAAAAAATTATTAATGTGACTTTAAATGATATTAATTTGTGTTAATTATTACAAACATTCAAGAATATATAAATCGATGATATCAATATAACAATAAATAAATTCGATTAAATAATATGCGATGGGTGCGAAAACGTTTTTACTCATCTGCAATATGTAACATGACTAATTGTAACAAAATATTATGTGCTGCCCTTTAAAGAGTCGGAAACACTCAGTTAAAAACAGTGAAATACTTACCGACATGTAATATTACTATATGTCGATATCTGACAAAATTGAAATATATAAACTTGATTTTTGTTTAGACATTATCAATAGCAACTATTTTAAAAAGCAAATCAAATAATCTATTGGGAAATATCTATTATCGACATTCATTTCGCGTATGTCTGCAATCGAATTTAAATTCTATCAATGGTAAGGTTAAAGTTTTATTCTTACTCACAAATAAAAAATAAGAAATAAAATTATTGATATATCTTCATCTCAACGTTTATCGACATTTTTCAATTTTAGTATTTTCTTTTTATAATAAAGTAATTTTTGTTTTCAAAATTTTTTTTAATTAATATAAAAAATATTATTTTGCCTTGAATGCAGTTGATAACTAGTGATCCCATTAAAAGATGATAAAATGGACGAAAATTCATGATACGTAATTACGATAATAAAAATTGTAGCACGTTAGTAAAAATTGGAATACACGAATACAAGATAACATCTATTATCGGTTAATTAAATTATTATAACCAGCTAATCGTTAAAAAAAACAGATTTTTACTTTATTAATAAAAGTAACATAGAAATTTTTGTTGCTGACCGATGGGAAGATTAAATCTATCTTACAACTTATCGGTAAGTAAGAAATCGATCTTTTATATTACCTAAAATTTATACCGTAGGAACGCTGTATATGACAATGAACCTTATTAGCAGAAAAAAATTATTAAATGCTCTTAATTGCTCACTATTTGCTCAATATTATTATATCAAATATTTTTTATTTATCGTTAATTAGTTGAAAATATAATTATTACACTTTGAATATTTATTATTATTTATATATTACACTAATTTCTTTTTTCTCGTTTCGCCTTTAATATTTGTCATTTTGATCGTATTTTATTAAATTTGCAATTTTTCTTTTCCATATAATGCAGCTTAAAAGTATTTCATAATAATTAATAGATATTATTTTTTGTAGTAACTTAATATTTGTATTTTTCCTATTTCTTTATTTTTATATATTTTATTTAAATGTAAAATCACGCGTTTAAATTTAATTTCATTACAACGGTAAATAGAGATTTGATAAAAATAAATAACAAATTCAGTTGGAAAGTGCATCTCTGCGAACTGGACGATTTGTATGTTAGGCTATTGTATCACTTGATTGTATGATTAATATAGTTTTCTTTTTGTTACAGGTGATCATCGTTGGATTTATCATCTATTCGTTTTGATTTTCTTCTACTTTTTAAAATATATATGTATAAAAAACGCATTTCTGATGGCACACACGTATTTAGACACTAAAAATTAAATATAATTATTTTCAATTTTCTTACAATACAACTGTACTATATATACTATTAAAAAATATTGTATTCATCGCGTTAAGTACATAACATCTTCCCATGGTGGTCCCAGTGGTAACAAAAATGATGCTGGGTAGATAAAAAAGGGGACTTGTGAGTTTCTATATACTTCACCACAAAAAATTTGGCATAGAACCGCAACAAGCAGAAAAAATGAAAAAGTGAAAATATTTACCTATTGTTAATACATTATAACCGATTAACTTATTTCTTTTCACTACCTCATAGGTTGTTACTTTGGAAATCTACTTTAAATATATCCCCTGCGGGTATACCAACTTTACTTTCATTTTTTTCCAAGTGTTCTTGCGCCTTGAATTTGTGGTTGCGCATGTGTATAACATATATCCTACTCATGGCGTCGCCATTTCATAATTATTCAAAGTGTAATAATTATTTTCAACTAATTAACGATAAATACAAAATATTTGATATAATGAAATTGAGCAAATAGTGAGCAATTAAGAGCACTTAATAATTTTTTTCTGCTGTTAAGGTTTTTAACGAGCGTATTTACGGTAAAATTTGTCATGAGCTTTAATTCAAATCGGATAAACAGGTATCTACCGTGTGAGGCTTAGATTTACAGGAATCCACTTTTACCGGCTGAATTGTTGGTAATATTAAAAACTGATATATTAACGATTGATCAGCCACATATAATTGTTACCCGTCAACTAATCGGTAAAATATGAGTGTTTTATTAATTAATTGACAGCACTATATAACTTACTATTTTATGATTGTAAAAAATATACTTTTTTCGTGACCGAGTGTCAGTAAACCTGTGCTTCTCTTCTTTCTTGATTGGTTATAAAGTTTTCTGTAAGAATTGCTAGTATTTGTACGGTAAAGCAAAACGCTACTTTCATTGATTATTTCCAGACAGGTTTGAAAAGACGAAATTACATGGTTTTTCGTATATTGTCGGTAACCATAGTATGCTCAACGTGCTAAAAAATACGCAGATGGAGCAGCCACATACTGGAGTCAATGAATCGAAGAAAAGTTTACATATGCGATATATTGTTATAAAGTAGGAGGTTTTATTCAATGATTGATAAATTAAATGATTTATAATTAGTAAGAATTTGAAAAAAAATTGTGTATTTTTTGTTTCGTTCTTTTTATTTTCATTATTTTCTTTTCCTCCTCGAGTTTGTTTGTATACAATTGTAGAGATATTGGAAATTGTCTTTTTTCCTTTGCAAACAAAATCAGTAATTCCTGTAACTATATCTATTTTGCTATTATATATATATTCAGATCTGTTAATTATAATCTTCTATTCATCTAGGTTAACATTTTAACATGTTATATAAATGAAATTGACTCTCTTCTTTTGTTTCTTTCAATATACAATTATGTTTCTGACAGTTCAATATATTAAATAAATAAAATGCATCTTAATGATAGAACAATATTTATATCAGATCAGGATATATTATTTTTTCCTGGTAGAGGTCGTCTGCAAGCATTGTTAGATTATTTTCGTAGCTTGTTCATGGTTTCTTCTACAAATCCGAATGCTCAAAGTTATTTACGCAGTCGTACTTCAATATTACGTGAAAAACGTCGACACATTCGCAACAACAAGGAAATAATTCATCCGTTCAGTAATTTTAGGTAATAATAAAATTAATTATTTTTTAAATCAATTCAAATTGAAGATTATTTAATAAAATTTTTAAATTTTCAAATTTAATATCATTAGGATTAATCGCATTTAAATTCGTTCACAGATATTACTGGGACTTCTTACTAATTCTAGGTATGACAATTAACTTATTGATAGTACCATATCAAGCATCATTTGGTATTACTCGAGAGACTCTTATTCCAGGAATAATTAAAAATTCTCTACTTCTTCTCTGTTGTGCAGACATGCTCGTTAACTTATCTACCGGGTGAATACAATCAAAATGAATCACTCTATTAAAGACAATTAAATAATTTATCTTTAAATTAATCAAATAACGGAGAAATATTGATTTTTAATTAGATACTTCGACAAAAGCCAATCTATTGTCGAGATGGAACGGAAAAAAATTATAAAACAATACATGAAACATGGTACGTTCTTTACCGATCTTCTCGGTTCTTTTCCGACCGACGTGATATTTGTGAGGATGTGGGACGAATACAAAGTAACTCGAGAAGTAGTTTCATTGATTTATGCCTTTAGATTATTTTCTCTAAACGTTTACATCAGCCAAGCGATGTATGCTAAAAATATTTCAATATCTCGTTATCACTTTTTTATTATCTTCTTTTGGTTATTTGTTTTCTTACACTGGCTAACTTGCATCTTCTGGCTAGTACCCATTGCAACTACTTCACTGAAACAATTACTTTATCCTAGAATCGATTCTTGGATACATGAGATCGATCTTTGGTATAAACCTAAAAGCATACAATATCTCTTTTCATTGGTGATTACGATAGGAAATTGTTTGAGATCTAGATTATATAAAAGTGATCGACAGAATATGCCTGATCTTTACGTAGTAATAGTTGCCGAAATAATAGGTACTCTAATCACGTGGTTCCTCATAGCAAGATTGGTGCAATATTTTAAAGGAACGAATTCTTCTAAATTGAGATATCAAAGTGCCGTTGGTCAACTGACAAAATATATGCGGCACAAACAACTTCCACGTCATACTCAACGTCGAATAATCGATTATTATGAATTTCGTTTCCAACGACGTTACTTTCGTGAATCTGATATATTCAACGCGTTATCGTTGCAAATACGTCAAGAAATAGTTATGCATTCTTGTCGAAAGCTTGTAGAAAATGTAACATTCTTTAATAATCTTCCAATAGTTATTTTGAATCGTATAGTAGCACTATTGAAATCGGAAATTTTCTTAACGAACGATGTGATTGTACGAGCGAACGAACCAGGCAATTGTATGTATTTTATTGGTAGTGGTACAGTTGCAATTTATACGATTTCTGGTAAAGAAGTTTGCCATCTTAAGGATGGTGCTCATTTCGGTGAGATAGCTCTTGTAATGGCGGACGAACGTAGAGTCGCCAGCGTAGTTGCTGTTGAGATTTGCGAACTTTATCGACTTGACCGTGCCGACTTTGCTCGTACGATACATCCTTATCCTATGATGTGGGAGCAGATCAAAAACATTGCCATCGAAAGACACGAGAAAACTATGATTCTTAGTACGTAATTAATAGTTTGTAATATTTATTGTTCTATATTCCTATATCACAAATGATATTATATATAATAATTATTTTATACCTAACAATTATATATCATTTATGTTTTGACCCCAAAATCACTGACTAACATTTATTGCTTGTCGTACAAATTTTTAATAAAAAAAAAAAACAAGTTTGAGAAAAGTATGCTGTTTGTTAATGTTTTAACATATTATTATTGATGCTTTGTATGGATCAATGACCACTTTTCCTGGATTTTTAATGAAATTTTAAGAAGAGAGTGTAAATTATATAAATCATTTCGGGCCATAAGTGTAGTTAGCGAGTTGGGACTGAACGCAGAGGATATATAAATAATATTAATAGTTTATTATAAATGTTAAGATAATTTAAATTTAAAAATGTTATGTGTTTTTTATGTACATATATATATATATTTATAATATATTCATTTGAAAATACCTATTAATATTAATTTAAATATCTATAGGAAGAATGTTTATCCTCTCGAGTCATGGTAATTTTAATCATTTTTTAAGAACAAGTAGTATTAATCGTGATAATCTGTGGTAATCAAATAGCTCGCCTATATGTTCTTCGTTACCTTCTCGATATTACCTTGCAGATATTGTGAAGATTATGCAACATGATCCGAAACATTCTATAGGAAGTATACGTAGAGATGTTAAGCCGCTACCGTGTATACGATACTAGTGAACTGTTCATTATACAAAATCGTTTCTACATAGTAGTACTGCATTCGACCGGTTCTCAAATGCAACAGAACTTAATTGTCACTACAACCGTTATCATCTTTCCGTTCATTTTTACTATATGTACATTCGTAAAACTAAATAAACATTCGGGATATATTATGATACTTCAGAAAGATTGCATTGGCGATATATAAATTTTAAAATCATAAAAAAAAAAAAGGAAAAAAAAAACAGAAAAAAAAGAGAAAAGATGAAGTTGGAAAGGAGATTCGTATCATCGACGTAGGTAACTCACCGGAGTTTTAATTGCGGTCTCATTATCGAAGTCATCGCGGGGAGTCTCGGTGATGCTGAGGTGGGGATGATGTATCTACCCTTCGGAACCATTAAGGTCGTAAAAGTCGAGGCCTCGTTTATTTCTTTCGAGCGAGGAGCTTCTATGAGGAAGTCGATGTGGGCACCAACGTAAGTCTTTTCTCGGTGCCGATGTATGAGAAAGAGAGAGAAAGAGAGAGAGAGAGGGAACCAAGTAGCCTTCTCCACCCTTCAAATCCATCATTTTACAGAGACACGAGACGTTCTATATAAATTGTTGGCAATATCATCACCGAGAAGCAGCTTTTCTATATGGTACCATGAGGCTCATATTCAGGTAGTAGGTGCCGTGCTGTTAGAGCGATAACCGTGTTCGCTACGCTTTTTAGACTCGCCACGGTCGACGAGGCATAAATACGTAGTACTTGCGCGTCGTCAATTCTGTTAAAAAGCTCCTCCTTCTTTTCATCGTTCGTCGATACGGTAGAGGAGTGTTACGTACTTACGTTTAGTATTATACGTGTCGTGTCCATCGGAAATTCGAACTTACCTTAACTTTCTACCAACGATAATGACGTTAGCAGTAATTAAGGAAGAAGAAGAAGAAGAAAGAGGAGGAGGAGGAGGAGGAGAGAAGAGCTTAGTGTTTGTCCGTTAGACTTGACATTCGCACGTGGAGATCGTAAGTAAGCGATTGGTTGAAAAGGAAATATCAAGCTGGTTGGTCGGTGCAAATGGCGTTGGCGTCGTTGTACCGTCGAGAGCCGCCCATTCGACGAAACAATGGTTCGCGCGCATCGACGCATGGGCAGAGAGAATACAGAAAGACAGAGAGAGAAAGAGAGAGGAAGATAACAATGAAACGGTTAGGAGGGCTGGCCATTGTAATAGGCCGACGTGATGCGCCTGCTTGGTAGCATCTATCCCTACTCCTATCCCTCTTTTATCGTGGTTACGAAGAGGACAAGAGAAGAAAAGAGTATAAGAGAGTAAGAGAGAGAGAAAGAGAGAGAGAACGTATTGTTATCAAAGAGAAAGCACCCCGGCAACGCTACTCGTCGATTTGGTTCTGAGCGAGACGGAATGATCATCGTAGCTTTGAAAGTGGAGAAGGTAGACGAAGATAACAAGAGTACAGAAAGTCGGAAAGGGAGAAAGAGAAACAGAGAGAGAGAGAGAGAGAGAGAGAGAGAAATAGTATGAGAGGGTAGAAGAAAGCACGTTGTGGCTATAGTTATGTGGCCACACCCCGCCGAGCCAGCCAACGGGCTCTCCGTCGAGCAACGACGAACCACCTGACCCCACAATGGGCAGATCCACTTAGAAAGTACGCGCGCACGATCTATTGTTGCACACCATGCGCACTTGAATGCCGTACGGAACACCAAAAGGGGGTTGGAAGAGCCACGTAAAGGGGATCGTTCATAGACACAAAGAGAGGAAGATAGAGAGAGAGAGAGAGAGAGAGAGAGAGAGAGAGAGAGAGAGAGAGNGAGAGAGAGAGAGAGAGAGAGAGAGAGAGAGAGAGAGAGAGAGAGAGAGAGTGAGTGAGTGAGAGAGTGAGTAGGTTTATATATGAGTTTGCGCGCGCGTACATATACGTATCACCATCGATAGGTGTATAACGAGCCGACGAGAAGAGGAGGACTTATTCCACGGTCACGCATTCTTCCTGCCTAGATCCGGCTCGTTAACGCGATTAACGGAGCGTGAGTGATATGCCATCGTGATACATCCATCGGAACGCCTCATCCTAGGGGGAATATTTCGTCCTGGTAATCCGACTTTCACCTCCCTTTTTCGACATTCTTTCCTTGACAAGAGAAACAACTCTTTTTTATTTTTTTTGTCATTAAGAATATATAATATATATATATATATTAATATTTTTTAAATGATTTCTTTTTTTTATCTCAACTTTTTCACGTTCTTAAGAATATATCATCTTTATGAGATATAACCTGTCTCAATGTTTGAATTCATATTAATTTCTTTATTTTTCTTTTAATAAGTATACTTTGATCGCGTCGAGTTTTCTTAAGGGAAAAGACAAAAAATAAAATAAAAAGAGAGAGAGAGAGAGAGAGAGAGAGAAAGGAAAAAATGAAACTATTTGTAGTAGACATTTAGCGAAATGAAAAAAAAAAAACAAAAAAGAGAAAAAAAATAAAATGTGGATCTCAGTGATATTTCTTTTTCCATGTCAATGTCTCGTAACAGGGAGAAATCTCGGGGAGTGCATCTTTGCACGTTGGTGCTCTCGTCCAATAGACAGATACGCGGCACTCCTATAGCGACACAAAACCCAGCGACGGCGACCCTAGGCTCTGCTGCCTTCTCCTCGGCAAGAGCGGGTCGATACTCGGCAGGCCAGCACCCTCTTCCCTCGGAACCACCACTCGCCCCTCGTCTCTCTCTCTCTCTCTCTCTCTCTCTCTTTCTCTGTTCCCGCGCAACCCCTTCCATACCTCCGCCCACATACCCATCTTCACCCTCCATCGTAGCGCGTTCTCTCGTTCCTTTTGCCACCTTCCCCCATCTTCGTCCTGTTTCTCCTCCGACAGACCGAGCACATCCACCTTCGCTCTTACCAACTCTCTCCGCTTCCACCTACGTTTCCACCACCTCTTACACTTTTCTATTCTCTTTCTTTCTCTCTCTCTCTCTCTCTCTCTCTCTGTCTTGCTCTTTCGCTCGCTTTCTTTCTCTTATCTTTCTCGATGGCCTCGTCCATAGGTGTATCGGTTGATTGATCGTTTATCGATACGAGAGACCATCCTGCTGAGTCCTACCTTCTCTGTCCTACCTTTTCTGTCCCTCTTCCATTCTCTCTCTCTCTCTTTCTCTTACTCTCTCATCCTTTCCAGTTACCTACCCCATAGTACGCGCATTGCACATTTATAAGGACGTTGAACACAAGCCCTGTGTACCATCTTTCTCTTTTACCTATACTTTCTCTCTCTCTCTCTCTCTATCTTCCTCTCACTCATTCTTTCTCTTTCTCTTTCTCTCTCTCTCTTTCTTCTCTTAAACCTCCGTCATCCTAGCCCTTATTCATCCCTCGAAACTCGAACGGCCGCCACCGGCTAGCCAACGGACTCGTCTGGATTGGTTTTGTGTTGGAAGGGCCATGCTCGATTGATGTCGGTGTGTTTGTAAGCGCACCGGGCAACATCAATGTTTCGACTCGGCCGCCGTCCGCCCCCATTATTTCATCCCCGTCGACCTCTTCCCTCTCTCCGTTACCTCCCTTCATCTCTACTAGTACCTCCTCCTACTCCTCTCCCTTATAGAAAATCTATATACGTATATAAACGTAGTATATGTACTTCTCTCGTTTCCGAGTCCCTCCCACCCTCTCTTCCTCTTTAACTACTAATACATACACGCGCGCACGCACGCACACACATACACATATACTTTGTCGATCCCAATGCAGAACCGATACTTATTTATATGGGCTTCCGTTTACCATTCACTACATACGTAATTTAACCGGCGACCCTGTGCACTTCCGAAAACGCTCTATCAATTTTTAACGTCGATACGGATTTATCAACGTTTGTAGTCCTTTCCGTATATTTATGTGTAAATATGCAATATGTAAGTTAATAAAATACTCTATTTAATATCTTATTCGACTATGGTGCGTCTACCTCTCCAGTATTTAAATATAAAATTCGACATTTTTCTTTACTTTCGATCTTTATAATCAACATATATTATCATTACACAAGGGAACGTAAATTTATTCATTAAATTAATTCGATGATGATTTTTTTCAACGTTAACGAACAAACCAAAATGTCACCTGGTTTCCATATTAACAGCCTCGAAATTCTTTGATCAGTTGTATTGGTTCCAAAAGGATGTTCCTAGCACCCGAACAGTGTACTACCCTAATCGAGTGGTGGCTCCCAACCGTGACGTTGCATTACGGTGTTGACTGTCCGTCACACATCCCCGAGTTCGAA